CAAAATATATAACTTATATGTTGTAATTATTATCTTTCGCGAATTTATCTTTAACGCGAATTTATTTGAAATATAACATAAAAGTAATGATAAATAGCAATGACCGAAACAATATTTATTAAGAAAGTTCTCGAACAGAGCACGGAATGTGCAAACGTGAGCAGGAAAGCTGCTGTGATGATTCGACTATAAGACTTCGAAGAGACATACGTGTAGACTATTAAGAAAAATTTATTATAATCGCGAGTATCAAGCTTTCTATATCGCCACTACGAACATTCCTTTGCGAAAATCCTATGAACTCCGGACACGTCCCAAATTATGAAAATACATTCACTTATTTTATTCAGAAAATTTCTGTAAAAGAAAAAGAATAGGAATATGTAAAAATAAAACATTACTGTCCACTACGTCAGTTTTGGAGTCTTTGCTCATTTTCGTTTATCGTACGAAAAAATTATTGCAATAATAATTATTGCAAAATAATTAACAAACAGTATTATAAAAATTGCTTATATTATCTGATAGAAGACACTTTTTAATTTGTATTTGTGTATTTAAAGTTTTATTTTTATCTTTTGTTTAAGAAATATTTAAAAATAAAGTGATATGTCGGTATCGGCAACAATATTCCCTATTTTTTTCAAATAGTGTTATTTATGTATATTAAATTACATTTATTTCTTTATGCGCTTTAATACATATCTGGAGACACGACATGCTGTGTCTCAGCGCTAAGAAGAACAGCAACATCGTAGCGCGAAAAATCATTCCAACCAAAATTTCGTAGCTTCTATTAAAAAAAGTTCTATATAGAATGAAGTGAATTTGAATAAAAGACAGAATTGGCAAAAATAAAAAATGGTTGAAATATACTTTAAATTATTTAAAATATGCTTAATCGATTTTTTAACATGTTTTATGTTTTAAACATTATGTTTTTTATAATACTATATAAAGCATTAAAAACATATATTTTAAAAACACAATGTTCTTTATCTTTCGCCAACTCTGATGAAAAAAGGAAATAAGAGGATAGAGAAAATCAAAACTCTTACATTTACCTAATGTCAAGTGAGTAGTCATCAATGTGAGTAGTGTGAAAAGAGGAAGAGCTGTTGCCGAGGGGATCATGCCGAATTAATCGCGAACCAGAGGGTCGTGTATCCTTAAATAAACCTGCAAGAGGAACCGTGAAACACATACGGACGTGTACAACCGTGTACTGAGAAAGATAGGTCCGTGACACGTGCGCGTAGATAAAGTCAGGCATCCCCTCTCTATGGTAAATCCGATTCGCCTGTAGAGCTTGTAAATTTGTTGATTATCGCACATTACATCGTTAAATCAATCATGATCAATCGCGTAATGAAATCTTAAATAATTCGGTTTCTTTGTTTCTTCTTCTATTTTCTGATTATATTATTAATTTTTTATCGTTATTACACTGAGAGAAAAATGTTTAATATTTGTGACTGTAATTATATGGTAAAATAATCGTCAATAGAAACTCTATTGTTATGATTATTACTGTTATAATGTCAATAAAAACTATATATGTATCTTTCAAACATGAAAAAATTATACTTTAAATTATAATAATTTTAAATATTAGTAAAATACCAAGATGTAATAATAAATAAAATAAACATTTTTATTCAATAAATGCAATCACAATTATAATGAATATATCTATTTTCCTAAATTTATTTACTATGTACGTGGTGATAATAATTAAAAAATATGTTAACAAAAAAGCTAAAGAATTTCAGAGAGAAGAATTTCAAGCATCGTGTGTGGCTATTATTAATAGCACAATTAACTGTACTTGCATAGTTAAAACAATTACAAATATATAGTAGTAAAAAATGACTATAAATTCAATCATGGTAATTGCAATCTTTTTTTCTCTCTTAATGTACATATTACAGATAATGTACATATTACAGATATTATGAGATAAGAGTTATGTACTAATATATGCGTGCAAATATTGCAAATATTATGCCAGAGCGAAAGTAAGAATTTGTATAAATCATGATATTTTTAAATAAATCCTTAATTTTCGTTAGATATAAATTCCAGATAAATATACAATTTATTAGTAGTTAAATATTTATTCGTTTGTTGAAAATTCAGAAAGTGGGACATCTGTGGGTTCGATTTCTGGATGAAATAATTCTTTTTTAGAATAAAATTATTTACAGATTTAGCTTATCAGCATCACATTATTAACATCTTTTAAGATGTTTAAAGATACAAATGTGCAATTATGCACATGCAAAATATTTTCATGTTGCGTTTTTATCAACATGAAAAAAAAGAAGAGCATGATCACGTATGTGACGTGAGCATGATTGACGTGAGCACTTAAATTCCTGCAACGTAAAGAAAATTAAGCAACGTGATAACATTGTGATGCCAAGGGCATAGAAATGTAAAACGGGCCGCGTGATCGCGTGACGCCTGAACGTCATTGTGTACAATGTCGCTATCAATTTCTGGGCTCTACCATTAGCTTTATCCGGAGTTTTAACATCGACATTTCTCGATTAAAATTAATTATTTAGGAACTAAAACTGCAACCAAAAATCCAACACTTTTATTATATAATGTTATTGCAATCAATCTTTCGATTGCAATCAATCTGAATAAAATTAGTGCAGCTAATACCGAGATTTCGAGATCAAGTGCGTAAATGTATCATTTTATATCACATTATCGATTTTCAGATTTTTTTCAGTCACACGGACGGAGCATGGAAGCATATATCAAATAAAGCATTTTATCCGTCAAGATACTTTCACAATGTACTTTCATATACAATTATATTACATTAAAATTAGCAATATAAGTAAACGTGTATAAAAATTCTTTATTCTATAACAAATTCTCTGATTTACAAACACAAAAATTTAGTGCTTTAAAAATAAATTTTCTGTTCTAAAACACAAATTCATTACTTCGAGCAAAATAAATTCTGTACTCAATAATATTTGTATTTTAGGCCAGTATTCATAGTTGATTTTTATTTCAAGATTGTCTTAGGTAATGTCTTAAGACGCTAATGCGATTCTCTAATTGGTTCGTGATATCTCAAGACTAAACTTAAGACGATCTTGAATATAAGAACTGAATATAAGTCTTAGAGACAATTTGTTTTGAAGCAGTGAATTTGTATTTTAGAACAGAGAATTTATTTTTAAAGCACTGATTTTTTGTTTGTAAATCAGAGAATTTATTGTAGAACAAAGAATCTGTTTTTAAAGCACCGATTTTGTATTTGTACAGCAGAGATTTGTGTAATTAAAGGAGAGAATTATTTTTAGGAACTAATTAATATTAAACATGTGACCGCAATGCAGTATTTTGTGGCTGTGACAATTTCCTAATCTCAATAGTCGTTAACGCTTAAAGAGATCCTAAAGCCGTCTATATTACTGACTAAATCATCTAATTTTTATATAACAATATTTTTTTCTCTTTCACAGATTTGAAAATTCTTTTCCAGGATTTTAAAGTATACGCATTAATACGTGTTTGTGAAGTGGAGTTTATGCTGAAAACGACTAAAAATTTCAAAATTGATATATTTTTTTACCATTTCTTAGTGTAACATGGCGTCTCAAGCTTGAAGCATTTTTTAATTGGTCAATTTGTATAATTCTTTCTTCTTTTGGTCCATCAAATGCTTCAAAGCATTTGTAGCAAAACTTTGACCATAGCCTTTGTCAATTCTCGCTTATATTTGACTTTTCTCTTCAAAGGGAAAAGAAGTTGGTGACTTTAGTTCATCTTGAAAAAATATTCTTAAGGTCAGGTTTAAATTACTTACAATTTTTTTAAATGAAATCTCTCATTTCTTACTACATTGTAGTTGACTTTAAGACCTTTTCAACACACTATAACAATATTATTTTTTGTAAGTATTTTCCAAGTTATTAAGACTTTACAGCCTCTGGTATATATTTGTGTTATCCAAGGTGTATGACTGATGGCTAAAACCTTTTGAAATGTTCAGAATCATGACCTTGACATTATATATCTACTCCCAGTGAGAAATGACAATAGGATCGATGTCAAATCGATGTCGAATTTGATGATCCGATCGATTTGATGTCGATTCTATTGTCACTTCTCACTGGATTGTTCTTATTATTTTTATTTTTATACAAAAATGACTTAACTTTGACATACGATGGCAAGGTAATGATTATGAACAATATTCAAAAAGTTTCAGCTATCAATCGGACACCTTGGATAATGTAAATGTTGACGGTCCAGTAAACTTCTAGAATCATGATTTGAAAAATATTTAATAAAAAATAACATTGTTATAGTGTTTTGGAAATTAAAAATAAGCTGTAAGAATATGCAATAAAAAATAGGCTCTATTAAAAAAATTTTTAATAATCTTGACCTAATCTTAAGGACATCTTCTCAAGGTCAACTTCTTTCCCCCTTAAAGCCATAAAACTTTTGTTTAAAATATTATTGTTTTAAAACAATCTACATGACAAGGCGTAAAGGCGTGACTAGAGAGTCTCACAAAGTGCATCACGTGACCCGATCTCTTCTGGATTGGATCTGATAATCAAGCTCCGTAGAATGATGGTATGCCGTTTAGGTTAGATGACTGCAAAAGCAGTACGCCTATCACCTTGTGCTGCTTTTCTTCTCAATTTTACAATTGATAAAGTGATACATATTATTAATCTTTAAAATATATACCTTCCTCTATTGTACATATATATATATATAAAATAAAACTACGAATTTTTATATTTCAGATATCTGAACAGGATTTGTGCACATTATAAAATGCCTGCCAGGTGCAGTGCTCCAAGATGCACAAACTCTAATAAAGAAGATATTGCTACACAACATTATGTATATCTCACATTCTTCTGATACGTTAATGATTGATTATTACCTTCGTCATTATTAGGTTATTAAGTATTGACCAATTAAATTATGAATACTTTAGTGAATTTACTCACTTTTGTAATTTTTAAAATCCACAATCGACCGCCAGGACACATGATAGTGTTTTGGAATTAATAATTCCTCATCCATATTTTCAATGATCCAAACCGTGTAAATAACCATGATAAAATCAGTGAAAACAGCTTGCATGACGTGGGCGCAGACATTGGAAATAAAATTCATTTATTTCCATTGCGCAATTGCGCAACGCCGTTATGACTGGGAATAATCCTCTTGCGACTGCGTCTGCGCCCTTACATCGTGTTACATCTTGTCGTTTAGATGAGCCTTTAAATTTACAGATTTTGAGAAAATCGATTGGATAAATTAAAATCGTCCGCCCTGTATATGTATAATTTTATTATATATTACACGTTAGTTTATTATATTATCTTATATTAATTTTTAACGCATTGAAAATGTTAATAAACTTAATAATTGAAATTGTTCATTTGACTTACTTTTTTTATTATTTACCATGCTTCGATTCCGTATCATTTTGACAGCTGTTATAACAGCTTATTTATTACACGCATCCATAGATAGTGGATCACATAATGAAAATTTTTATTCTGAAAAAAAAGTGTAACACAGTGTCCAGAACTGTATATGATATATGTATAATATAATATATATGTACTTATACATGTTTGATTATATATGTGTAAAATTTTTTTTACCTTGAGAATATTCAAATATCCTAAATACTCGTAGGTTCGATTTTTTCTTTACTGCCCTAACAGCAAAACCTGCGGAGACAGATTTTGAACAGGGCCTGCTATCAATTAATTTTTATTGCAGAAAGACAATAAATTGTATGTATTATATCATATATTATAATACATTGCTTGTATTATCTGATTGTCAGCAAATTGTTGTCAGAAATATGATAGTCTGTTAGACATACTATGCCAGCAGATTAGTAGCAGAAACCGAACAAAGTCCTGCATAATCTGATGACAGATTGAAAACAGATTGAGACTATTGAGAATACAACCTGATTTAAACAAACTGCTCGATTTCTACCACCAATTTGCTGCCATAGCTTGTCAGCAAGTTTTATCGACAAATCCATAGCCAAATGCGGACACAGATGGCTATAATGGTTCTGTAGTTAAAAATTTGATCGAGTTTTTGTTGCCAATTTGGTCTTAATATTTTGCTATCAAGGTGATTAACTTGTGATTAAACTTGAGCTTCACTTTATAACATTATCAAAGATGAAGCCCAATGGATAAAACCTCAAGTTAAGGTCTAATTATAATAAGTTAAACAGCAAATAAAAAAACCAATTAAGCCATAAAAAAATAAATAGAAATCTATTCTTTCAATATTCGAAATTAAAATAAAGATTCGATCATGAAATTTCATAATATATCATATAAGACTTGAATCTTGTACAATTCTGAAAATTACACTGATTGAATTTTTACTTTTTTTTACTGATTATTATCACGTAAGCAAATCTACGTTGGCCACGGCTTCCAAATTCGTCGTGAATGGATCATCTATTGTCTTCCGATGAATTGCCAGGGCGACAGATGTTCGTTTGTCAGCGCAGCGTCATTTCGCCTGTGCGAATTTCCGCTTGAAGTGGAGCTGACGCGAGCGAATAGCCACAGCGCTGAAACACGATCTAACCGTTAGTCCCACGGAATCCGAAATCGCTTCAATCGTGGATCACACAAGCGAAGCCGACCAGGCAGCGGTCACCAAGTACCGGAAATCCCGGCGCAAGAAATCGAAGAACGCTGCCGCCGCCGTCGCCGCCGCAGGCGATTCCAAAGTGTGTTTCTCGCATTTGACGCGAGGTTTCTCCTTTTGTATTTCTTGCCATTTATAATTTTATTTGCAATTTGTTGTAATACAATCATATAATTTTCTTTGTTTCAATAATTTAGCAGAATTTAACTACTCGAAAGCCCAAAAAATGCATTGATTAAAATGTCTATAAAAATTTAAACTGGAGGAAAGAGAGGAGCTCGGATTTATCAGACAATTAGATTTGAATCGTAATATTTTATAAACGAAAAAATTTAAGGCTCCAACAATTTCAAAATTTAACTTTTTTCCCCACTCTCAAAATCTTTCCGAAATTTTTTTCTTTAAAAGCAGTCGTACTATTTTCATTCAAGAAAAATGAAATAAAGAAATATTGATTTATATATCTTTTGAGGCAAAGGAAATGGCAAATACTTGCACCGAATTCCGAAAAGAGATACATAAGTCTTTCGTCCTGCCAGCCATGCAAACAACACCATCTTACTCCGTAACAATACAGAACCAAACGAGCTCGACCACAGCCATGCGACCTCGATCTCTTTATACTTCGCACAATTATCATTCTCAGCCCGAGGATCCTAATTTTCAAGTACATCCAATCCTTGAACTTTATTCTTCATTCCTAATCTATTGTATCTGTAACTTTTAAACATAGGTCGTATATGAGACTTCCAAGTATTAACAAAAATATTGAAATAAAAATTAAGTGATTTTGCTTATTTAGATCGTATACTTTAGAAAAATAATTAAAGATTAGTCAAAATAAAACTAATAAAAAACTAAAGAAAATATACATATAACTGTAAAAAAAGAAGTACTACCAAGTTTCTTATAAAAATCTATCTCATATATATTTTATAATCACATCTATCATCACATATATAGTACCGATAAAAATTCTATTACAATAGTTGCATGTTAAGATAAATAAAAGAAAAACAAAAGAAAATTCTTTCCAAAATTTTTGGAATATTGAAAGCATAATTGCTCAAGATATTATAAAATTTTAAGATATACCGTTATAGAAATTTATTATAATGACTTCTATAAGCTTCTTCCGGATGATCTTATAGCGATATAGCGATCTGTCCAAGTATTTCGAACCTCCAGCCGAACAGTGGAACGGTTTAAGTGGGGCAACTGCGTACTCCGGATCGGCGACGATTTGGCGGCAAGCTAGAAAGTCGATCGGTGGACCTTATTATGCAGCCGAAGAAGCTTCCATTTACACGGAGAACTGGAGAGAACATGACGCTGACGTCGGAGGTGTCGTCGCAACTCCTCATGGTACCATATCGTTGAGGTTGCACAACAGGATACGAGTGGACATGACCATTGACCGTGCAGTCAGAGTCATTAACTTCAAGGTAACTGTCCAAAAATGTTTTCTTATTTTCGTAATATTATTTATATAATAATAAAATAAAGTATTTAAACGAAGATATATAAAAAAATATTTGACAAAACATTTGAAGTTATATTAAAAATGAGATACATTAAAAAAAAATTTTATTTAAGAAATAATTAATATTGAAGATTTTTCTCTTAATCATACGGAGTTGCAGTGTAAGATTTTGAGATTTATGAAATAGAGGATGTAATTAATATACGAATCCAAATTTACATCTCGTTTCTGATAAATGTATAAAAAATTAGATACAAAATATTCAATAAAATACTTAAATAAAGTCATATAAAAAATATTAATTAAAAAACAATAATAATTTTAATTAAAAAAGAATTAATGTTAAAAAAAAGTTTTCTTTTAATAATACGGAACTATTATGTAAAGTTTTGACATTCATGAAATGGAGGATCTGTTCACAAGTCCGGAAATTCAGAGCTACATCCTGTTTTTCATTTTTGTAGAATAATATTGTCCTGTCGCTAAGCAGTTCCGGAGCTGCTGCCGCGTTGCTGCATCCCAATGGCAGAATATATCAGTATGGTTCCCGTGTGGAGATCGTCGCTCATGACACGCATGGCAATAATAAGTTAGTTCAAGTGTTATCATTACGTGATTACTAATTAATACTGAACGGCTTGTTTTAACAGATACGCAAAGATGTGGTACAAGGGAGTCAGTTTCACATCAGAGCAATGTGCGCTTGTTTACCTGGTGGACACGGCTGGGACCAGAACAACAACGGATTCCTTCTCGGATATGAGCCAGGTAGAACGAGCCAGATAGAGCAGAGATTTATTTTACGTTCACGGACCAGTTCACTTACCAGTTCAAAATATTGTTTTATTTCCAAATTCAAATCGCACTCATATTATTCTTAGACTTGTAGTTTAAATTCATTTTTTTCTTTTTTCTATTTTAAGTAATTCAGTTTCTTGGTTTTTTTATATTTTTAATTGTATAAGCTTTGTTAAATGAGCATTTCTCAAAAATTTCAGATCGACAATCTTACATCATTCCTTTCGATCAAAAATTATTCATTAATTTAATTATTTTTATTTTTAAAAAAATCATTACTCATAAAACACGTAAAATTAATTTTATGAAACTAAAATCATTCTTTTTATAAAAATGTCCTATTAATTCATTGACTAATGTTGATTCAAATCAGTGGTGACATAAAGTGGTTAAGACAAAATGTTTTAAATTATTATCTCAATAACTATACAAATAGAAATTCTAAAATAAAGTTTCATAAAGAATATAATAAATTTATTACAATTCTTTACTAATAATTCGTAGGATTTTTCATTGAGTGTCTTCTATTCGGGCTCTCGACATGGACCAGCATGTTTGCAGGAAGTTGCGGCACATCTTAGTACATCTCAATATTGGCAAACAGATGAAGGTGTTGAAAATTGGATTATTAACAACGTCCGAGTATCCCAGACTCCCGATGGTCTTGTCAGGTAACAATTAAAGCCTAACTGACGAATTTAAATCACAAATTTAAAAATAAAAAAATCAGAAAAAAATCCGTTAAAGAAAAATTAATAAATGAAATTAAAAATATTAATTTGATCAAAACATTTGATGTTAAATTTTATTATTGTATAATTAAGGAGAATTATGTCTCCATAGAAAGTATCTTATTTCTATTTTTTATCCTAAAGATTTTATCCTAAAGATTTATACATGTCAATTTGTAGACTCCTAAATTGAAATACATATGTACTGGGAAAAATATTATTGTTTTTCCATAATGAACGGATTATATATTAAAGAGATACAATAACTTATAATTTTTTGTTACTTAATATACTCTTAATATAGTCTTAAATTATTTTTGATGTATCTTTAATCCTTTTTTCATAATAGGATTGCACGAAATAGCAATAAGTATCAACTACGTACATCCCCTAGCAATGGTACGGCTTCATTGACGACGCCCTTCCTGCATTGTACTGCGTCCTTAGGACAAACGTCTCATCTGTTTGTACGTCGTGGTGAGCGTCGCATGCATTACGATGGTACTAGCTTTATCGTGAGAAATGCAGGTCACAGCGCTGGCTTTGATGACAACAATCAATTGAAGGTCTACTAGAACAAAAGCTCCGTAAAATGTCTTCTCGCTTAGGGTTTATCTATCTATGAACGAACATCGATGAATATAATCATCTTAGATTGTCAAACGGTCCAAGCATAACTTGGTGTATTGTGACAATTTGATTTCAAATGTTTAATGAAAGTTATGGATCACTTTCGTCGAGGTCTTAAACGAGAATACACATAGACCACAACATTAAACACTTTAATTATGCTCGCGCTTCTACGTTTAGAGATTTACTCAAATCTCATTTTACTAGAGTTTAGTAATTTAATTGAATTGTCTTATCTATCCGAGGCTGATTTGATCCTGCAAAATGTTCAATAAATGATTTTGAATGAATCGAGCATTTTATTATGCAAAATTAACTTTTAATTATTATAATCGTGACATATGTCTTTACAATAAAACATTATATTTGAAGAATGTATAGAAAATATAAGTACTTATTTTCTTAGTATATACATTAACATTCATACTAACATTCATCTTTTTGGTTATTTTGTTTGATTATCTGTGTTACATCTCGGGAAGAAAAATATCACGAAGTTATCGCAAAGTTTTAAGGTGATCCTACACGGTCAATAGTACTGAATATTGAATCAGTAATATTGACAGTACGCATCAATATTTTTACAACCTTACATGATCAGTATTATTGACTAGGGATATATAGGGATGTACCGGATATCTGAAAAGTAAAGGATCTTCTTATCACGAGATCTAGAACATATCAAATTTTCAGACAATTCGACCAAAATTCAATTTCCATAAGATTTGTGCGGGGTCCTTTGATATCATTAAATTGTTGATTTTTTTCTTATACAAATGTTCTAAAAATAGATATGCATATTCATACTATAATATCTGATACATTGTTGCAAAATTACTATCTTTTTCCATATAGGCTCTTTTAGTTTCTCGGAACCGGTCGAATATCCAGAAAATATCGGATATCCGACTCGAAGAAATTGCCTTTTCGGATATCCGATATCCGTTATCCGATACTTTTACGATCCGGTGCATCTCTATATATTTCACTTTTGTTTTACATTATCTATTACATTGTGACATATTATGACTTGGATCCTAATAAAGCAATATTAATGCTCGAAAATTCAGATTACCGTCAGTATTCTATGTCAATAAAATCAACAACACACGGTCAGTAATATTGTTAGTATTTGTTAGTACTGACAGTATTATTGACCGTGTAGGGTCATCTTTGAGCTTATTAAGATCATAATTACAGAATTTCATCCTTTGTGATTACATAGTGTAAATTTTAATTGAACTCAGTTGAACCATGGACTATAAACAAAAGTCTATAATTTTTAAATCTCTCACCTTATTTACATTGAAATTGATATTTGAATTAATTCTTGAGTTATAATTTTTTGCAGCTTTTATAAAGCAGCGCTGAGTTCACGTATCTTCTTGCTCCGTTTCCGATTCTTCTTCAGATTGTAGTCCTTTTTCAAATGCTCGGCCTATCTTGGATAAGACCTGATTTTTGCGAACTCTGATACTGCAGAAAAATTATCATTACAATGCTTCAACTTTTAATATTTTTTTATTTAGTTTAAAATCAAGGTGAATAGGTCCCTCTTTAAGTATATAATAAAAAAATTGCACATCTTTAAAATAAAATTACAAAAAACGTTCACTTATACAGGCTGCGTTTCGTTATTCATTGTAAGTACTAAAAATCTATAATGCACATTACGCATATCATACATTTTCAGTGCTCACAGTAAATAACGGAACGCAGTTACAATTACATATCTTAGATCGCTAAGTAAAGCAATTATTTTTTTTAACAATACGAAAAAGAATTTAAAAAATTAGTAAGTTGGTAATACATAAGATTATGACAATAGAAAGAGTAATTTTTATACGATGAAAATTCATTCATTTCATTATAAAAGGGATATAATTTATTATAAATTACTTTAAAAGTCCTAATTTGAAAACTTTTTCTTCATATTTCTCAAAACTTGTGTAAAAAGTTGAATCTTTTAATTTTTGTAATTTTTATTTTATATTTCCCTAGTGAAAAAATTTTGATGAAAACCATGAAATTATTTCACGTTTTGGAACATTTCAGCGAAATTGTTGAAAGTTTGCTGAAATTTCACTGAAAGTGAAAAATCGCTCAAATTGAACTGAAATTTTTTTGAAATTTTATTGAAATTTCTCTGAAATTTTTGCTGAAACTTCTCTAAAATTTTGCTGAAAATGAATTTTTCAGCTAAAAAAATCGCTAAAATTAAACTAAAATTTTTCTGAAAAGTGTTCTATAATGTGGAATAATTTCAGCGAAATTTTTTTATCAGGATTTTGATGTATCTTTTATGAAATCATTATTTTTGCGAACTTGTGTCACTTTCATCGAATTAAAGCTATTGACCATAAAATATCTTTAGAAGATATCAGAAATGAGAAAACACATAATGAAAATTCTTGCAAAATATATTAAAATAGAAATATTGTATTTTTCAATAATATTTGCATCTGATACGGTATATTTATAAAATATACCAAAACTCTCTTTTTATCTCGCAATAGAATAAAACGTATTATCTCAAAGCGACAGCTATTATATAATTTATTTCGTTTTCCGGTTAGATAATTCAAATATATAGTTATTTATTGATTATTAAAACATAAATTTCGGAATATTTTATAAATATATTCTATAATATGAATTGCAAATGTTCCTTTATTAAAAAGCAAGAATTTTCATATATTTTTCCTGTTTTTGACGTCACAATCCAAATGACCGCGTGAATAGTCACGAGCCTCAAGAAATTACTTACCGTTTTTGACCTTTCTGAACAGTTTCGGTCAATGCCGCTGCTGCTGATGCTGTTGATGGCTTACTACTACTAGGGTTTTTCACATCGAATGATTTAACAAATATTCTACTTTCCGACTGTATTGTACGAATGTTATCAACAATATTGTCTGCTATGCTAGCATCATAAAGTTGCAAGCTAGAATCTCCTTCCGCATCGTACAAAGTACGCTTCTTTTCTTCATAGACCTTACTTAGCTTGCTAATAGTCGATAACAACTTCTCTGGTGCCGCTAATTCTTTAATTTCTGGCATCAAATTAACATCCAGCTTGGGCTGTTCTTGCTTTTCATAGAAATGTCTCTCGATACCATACTGTGAGCAAAAAAAATGCTCTCATGTTAAAAACATAATTTTTAATAAATATAAATAAGGTTTTTCTCTCGTAAAAAATTTTACGAATCGCTATTTCAATACTTATACTCATCGACATGCTAAAAGTTTCCTGAAGAAGAGATTTCTCGTAGATTTTTGCGCTGAAAACGATGCTGTCCTTAAAATTTACCTATCACGTCACATTTTTTAGAAAAATAGCAACGTGTATTTGTATGCGCGTGTATGCCCACCCATCTGCACTGCATGTTAAAGTGCGAAAGTCCGAAAATTTAACAGCAGAAGAGATTGTACTTTATCCAATAAATTTACCGTTAATTACTGTCAAATTACTTTTAAGAGAGAAAATTATAATAGAATATGTTATAAATAATTATTTATAATAGGTATTTATATTAGTTTTTATATTAGCTTCATTATAACTTAGAAATAATTTAAACAGTCATTAATGGTCTCTTCTGCTGTTAAGTTTTCCAATTTTCATCCTAACATGCAATGATGGATGTGCACACACGAGCACAATACTACAAATACACATTACTGCACGACGTAGGTAATTAGTTTCGTAATAATGGAAATATTTGGTTTAAGTACAATGTTTAAATTTTTACTTAAAGTTTTTTAGAATTTTCTAGCACGTCAAAATCGGCTATGATTTTTCAAAAATCACTAAAAATGTATTTAAAACTTTTAAAACTTCCCCTTTTAAATCTTCTTTTTTTCTCAAAAACATTGTATAATAGACAAATTCTAAGGGCAATATTTTCAACGCTTAAAAATCTACGGAATTGAAACTACTTTCTTTCTTCAGAAAAGTTAGCATGTCATGTGTTATTAACACACAACATATACAGGATGTCGATAATTGTTCTGGCGGAATTCGTGAACATATAGAGCGGACTAAATTTAGAAGGAAAGTTTACCATTTTGCAATTTTCGCAATAGTTAACAAGATATTAATTGCTAAAAATTGCCGAAAATTAGTCTTTAATGATTTTCTACTCAAATACTATCAACAGAAAAACTGCAAGAGACAAACATTGTTTGTAAAAATTTTATTTTCTTCTCATAAAGCTTTAAGAATTTTTTTAGAATTTTTTCAGATTTTTTAATATCGTATTTTCTCATGTTGATAAAAAAAATGAGAAAATGCAGTAAAAAGTTGATAAAAAATTCTGAAAAAATTCATAGAGTTCTATGAGAATAAAATAAATAATTTTCATCTGTTGCAGTTTTTTTATCTGTTGCAAATTTTCTTAAATTTTATGTATCTGCGATTTCTAAAAAAAAACTTCATTAACTCGTAAATTAATGTATAACATTTATTTAAAATTAATTCACAAATGCTTTCTATTTGCACTTTTAATTGAATTCTATCAAATTTTGTTTGAAATTCTAATAAAATTTCTCTAAACTTCATTAAGATAAATGTCCCAGTGACTGAACATGTACCTATGTCCGGACACTTACACAAAATTTATTATTGTTAATCTTAAATGCTTTTTTTATTATTATTTAATTGTATTATAATTTAATTGCATTTAAAGATTACAATTAAATTATAATATTATGTTTTAAAAAGCGTATTTGAGATGAATATTAACTTAAATAAAGTTGTGTAAATGTCCCGACATAGGTACATGTCCAGTCACTCTCTGGAACCGGACAATACCTATGTCCGGACAATTACACGAAACTTTATTTATTTAAATTAATATTAGCCTTAAATGCTTGTTACCTTAAAGATCAATTTGATGAATTAGTCGTTTTTTTGGGTAAATTATGCACTTTAAAGGACATCGCGCTGATGACCTTGACTTTGACATATATTATCAAGGTTATGATCCTGAGTAATTTGTAACAGATTTTAGGTAGCGGTCGTCCTTCGTTAAAAAATTATTAACAAAAAAATTCGAAAAATGGTGTCTTTTTTCTACTATATGAAACAGAATTTTTTTGCATTTTTCAAACTTTTTTGTAACTTTAATAACTTTTTATAACGAAGACCACCACCTAAAACCTGTTGGAGGTCAATCAGAGTCATGACCTTGATAATATATATCAAGATTATCGACGCGGTATCCCTTAAAATGCATAATTAATTGTCTTTTGTCATTAAACATCTATTTATATTAATACTTCTCGTCAGCATAGTTTTCTAATTGTGATCGGACACTGGAACAATTACGTCTCATTGTCAGTGACCAGCTGTTCGGCCATTGATACATTGACACATTCTATTACTTATTTAAATATTTTAATTAATAATTGTTATAAGTGGATTCAAATAATTTTTCCTTGCTCAAGAGAGTCTTGAGTTTTCAAATGAATACAAGTATTTATATCAAAAACTTTTCTAATATTATAAATTGTATTATTTATGATAATCTTAAACGTCCGGTTAATGAGACATTTACCTTATTTCTCTTTTTTCTTTCATGCTCTTTACTAAGTACTGTTAACTAAATTTTTAATTATTGAGAAGTTTTGTCTATAAAGTGTGAATGTTTAAAAATATCGGGCAAGTGAGAATAGCTCCGCAGTAATTGTTGCATAATTTTTTTTACAAAATGTTCATGTATTTCGTGTAATGCTTACATAGAGTTCGAATATGTAATTACATATCTATACGTAGTAAAAGATAAATGTTTAAACATCCGTAAAGAACACTCCTCAAGACCTCCTCAAGACCAAGAACACTCATTAAGACAACTCCGACCTTTACATAATTTATAACTACATTCTTGTCTGCAACGGAAATTGAACTAATTTTGAAGATCACAATCTTAAACCTGATAATTTAAAGCTGCATCCGTTGCACACATTAATAGAATCAAATGTTTTTTGACCACTAAATTATGTTTGTACATCGCTGATGATGGCTCGAAGTGAGCTGAAACGTTCGAACTCTATGTAAGCATTACATGAACATTTTGTAAAAAAGATTACTGCAACAATTACTGCAGAGCTACTCTCACTTGTCCGATACTTTTAAACATTCACACTTTAAATACTGAAAGTCAAAAACATTCTAACGTTTTATCTATAGTTATATTAATATCTGTGATTTAGAAAAAGTATTTTTAATTCAGAATAAAATATACCTCTCTGTCACTAATGCAATGAATAAATATACGATCAACAATCATTTTGCATAAGATATAGTTAGCATCATGATATTCCTCCTGTTTTATTTGACTGTGCAACTCCATTAAGCAACTCCAATCTGATAGAGTCATTCTGATCTTTAGTTGTTTTATTGGCATTTTATAGTAAACTCCATATGTAAGATACAGAGCCCCTATACGTTCCTTTAAACTGGATGCATTTACCAGAAATTGCTTTATTATGCAAAGGGCATCTTCACAAAATGTCGTTAAAGCTGCTTCCGAAGGATGATAACTGTAAATTTGAAAACTTTTGTTTAAAAATTTTTGCAAAATTGAAATCTGTGTAAACTGATTTTCTGATACTTTACAGAGAAGTTTAAAAAAAACCCGTTATTAATATTTTGAAATAAAATTTTAATAAAAAAACAAAGTACATACGCAAAAACCAAACCAAATTGCATTTCTTTCCAGATCTCACAGAAGTTTTGAAAGTGAGTATTATAAGACAATTCGAAGCGCGTTATTAGCGTCTGGCAATCAGTGCGAAAAGCCTCCATTAAGCGCTTCTCTATTAAGAGACAAATATTAAACAGTATAATTATTACTTACAAAAATATTTTCAATTTATAAAAAGATTTTCCTATTGCTTTATATAAATTGTACATATCAATATACAGGATGGTCCATTTAAAATGGAAAAAAAAATCTTGAATATTTATTTTTTATTATATATATTATATATATATATATACATATACATATATATATACATATATATATGTATATATAATATATATATATGAAAAAATGTTTCAGATGAAAATGAAACAAGGAGCAACGTATTTTGATTACGTTATTTTTTTCTAGGCGGAGGTTAAAAAGATATGAAGGTGACCTCCATTTTTTTAAAATGAAATTATATAATAAGGAGTAGTGTCTCTCGTCAAGTATATTTTTGAAATTTAGTACATTAAAATAAAATTTTTTTATTTTATCATAAAAGAGACACTAAAATGTCATGAAAGAGACACTACAGCGTATCCTTTACAGGAAGGAGAACGTTTATATAACAAAAAATTATTTTGTTCAAATAAATTGATATTATGAAAAAATGTATTGAAGAAGAAAATAGATTTTTACAAAATGAGATCATATTCATAAGTACACTTGATGCGTAAACATAAATATATTGCGCATTTTTCTGCCCGATTTATATCATTCAGATATGTCGTTCGTCGTCGTCGTTGTCGTCGTCTTTCTTTATAAAATTTCAAAAAAAATCTTGTCCCCTTGGACAAGATTGGCTTTTCTGCCACTAGATACAATTTTAACTTCATAATACTTAATTTAATTATTAATTATCTAGATTTACATAGATTTACCTAGATTTACATAGGTCGTCTAAAAAGTTTTGAGCCTTATAACATGAAGATGACATTATTCGTCAAAATTTTGTACTACAATCCGTATATCTTTTAAAAAATAATTGTGAAAATTGAAATTACTTTGAACGCTCAGTTGTTTAATAAATCAATGTTTTTGTAAAAATGAAAAAAATCGAATATCGGCATAACAAAAATTTACGAATTGCAGTTCGAATTGATTGAACACTCACCAGATCTGGCAACGACTTTTTTCTGTTTCCTAGGCTCAAAGTTTGGCTCGGATGATAGAGATTTTCATCAAACAAAAACACTTGACATCGATTGGCACAAATGATTGTCAAACAACAACTGAGTGTTCAAAATGGCTACAATTTTCGCAGGTATTTTTTAAAACATGTGCGATTGTAGTACCAGAATGGGTTTTGACAAGTAATGTCATTTTCATGTTCAAAACTTTTCAGATTACTCGTATATGTCTATCAACATATTAATCAATCTATTTATCTTATATATTATAAGAAGGGAGAATTTCGCTTGAATTGGGTAGAAAAAAAAAATTTTTTACATTTTCTTAAAGTTTCACATTTCAAGAATACTCAGTTCAAATATTGTGGCGATATTCGCAAAATTGATAAGACCTTAAAACAAGACCTTAAAACGTGCAGGCTGATAGAAAATAATTCCCGGCTGTTTTGGCCTGCCTAATAAGTACAAACAAATCTAAATAAGTCCCCTTCCTGAAGAGGGGGGCTTTCCCTGAAAACGAATATGCATAGTAGGCAAACGCTCGTTTTATTTTTACTTTTGTAATTAGATATATAATAGATATATATTATAAATGCCCGATTGTAAGAAAACCGAATGATTTTCTCAAGATATAGGACCCATCGACGTTTTCAAAATCAGTGAGCACTATACGTCTGTATTATCAATAAAATTAGCTACAGTTGCGTGTCAGTGCTGCACTACAAAAGTGTACATACACTATGGTATACACTTCATGCTATATGTTTAATTCTGCTACCGATTGACTTCCATTTTCAAATTTTTAATGTCACACTGGCTCTACACCATCTCTTCGAGATCGTGTAACAAAACTCCACTTCGTGCATAAAATTTGCACTACACTATATAGCCACGGAAACACATTATACTGTCTGAGTGTTGCACTGGTAGGCGATAGTGCAGCTAAGAAAAAACGCTATTAGATTACAGAAATATAAAAAAAAGTAGTTGAAAAATCGATATTAATTGCAAGCAGATAAAATTAAAGCTACAATATTTAATAATTAATTCAGTAATAAGCAAATTGGCTAAAAGGCACATTAAAGAGAGTTAAATGTATGTATATTCACATAACATCTGCTCAGTACTAAAAATCTCAGTACTAAAAATAGTCCAGTAATATAAACTGTATATTAACAGTAGAGCTACAATCGATTAGCAAATAATTATTTTAATAATTATGACAACCTCAAAAAAGAGGCCGTGAGTAATTAATACTCATAGAGGGCTACATTAGCAAAATGTGCCATGTTATTGTTTAAATTTGCATAATTCGAAACATATACAGTCAAATAAAATGTTTAGTAGCAAACACACTTAAAAATACATATATTCATGTAATACGCTCAAGTTTAAAAAAAATGAGGAAGTAAGTGTAATTAAATGCTAAAATGTACTTCAGAAACATTTCAAAATACTTGAAAGTAAAAATGCGTTATAATAAATGCTGGCTATTGAGTAATGGTATATTAGCGTCATGGTGTAATGGCGAGCTACTGAACAAATAATTCCATAAGTAATTAGGATTCGCTAAATAATAGTGAAGATAAGGGCGGCCACAATGTATAATACTTCCTTCTCTTCTATATTTTTACTAAGATGAAGAAAGAAAATTTTTTCCCATAAGACACAATATAATTATTTAATTCACAACCATTTTATTAAAACAAAATTTTTGTTTCATCAAAATAGTTCGAATGGTTTTCAAAATTTTTGGGAAAAGCAAAATTTTTTTCAATTGACATCTTTAAAACTAAGTCATTTCAGTCATATAAAGTTTTTGTATCAAAATAATTTTCAAACGAGGAATATTTTAATTTGGAATTTTATTTACTTCGACGTCAATTTGACGCCGATTCGATCAAGTTATTTCTCGATAGATAACTAGTATATAATGATCTCGGAAAAGGCTTATTTTATCGAAAATAGGTAATTATACAGTTTAGGAGCTTCTACTCTCAAAAATCAATAAAATTAGGCTCATTCGACACGTTTTTGCATGAAATGAAAGAATCTGGCAGAAAAAAGTATCGCTTTGCCCCGCGAATCGATATTAAGTGTTGATTCTACAATGAGTCAGTAATCGGTAGTCCTATAAGTCTTATCGATGAAGTTGACCAATAGCCAACTTATACGACTGATTGGCTAATCAAGACTAAGACTTCCAACTACTTTCGACTTCGTTAAAGTTGACTATTGAGATTAAGAAATCTGTCACAGAGGCAAAATGAGGTCTATAATTGTACTGTTCCACATGGGTTTCGACTTCCACGCGAAGTGACTCTCATCCCTCTCCTCTTCTGCAAAGGAGCGCACTTCTATAATTGTAGTTGTTGAAGTTAAAAAATCTATCATGTAAACAGAGGGGTGTATAGACTAGTGCTTGTTAATTCGGGGGTGGCTATGCCACCTCAAACAAAAAAAATATAACATATTCTACCCGCTTGGGATCTAACTGCATAGAAGTTGCAGCCTAGACAGCAAAAGACCACTTTAAAAAGATTGTTTTCATATCCTACTGTCTTCATGGAATAAAAATATTCCAAGTGGACACTGTCTACGCAACTTCTAAGCGGTTAGATCCCAAGCGGATAGGATATTTTTTTTGTTTGGGGCAGCGTAGCCATGTATCTCTGAAACGATAATTATTATTAAATATATATTATTATTAAATATATATTAAATATATATTAAACCATATATCTTTGAAACGGTAATTATTTAGAATACCTCCCTCCCTCTCGTAAAATTTTAATAAAAATGTACTCATTCGACGCGTATTTATTCAAAACGAAAAAATCTGACAGAAAAATGCAGTGGTCGACCTTATGAATCTAATTATTAAGCATTAATAAATTCGAGACTTTAGAGGTTACGACACCTGTCATCTCAACTCGATTACATATATTGTATTCTGCTTTAATTACACAAATTCTCTACTTTACAAACACAAATTTACTTCTTTAAAAACACAAATTTAAAAACAAAAATTCAATGTTTCATAAATACAAATCACTGCTAACGCAAAGAATTTGTGTGCTGTACAGAGTAGAGATAACAGATATCTTAACCTCCAAAGTCTCGAGCTTTAACACTTGATAATTCTATTCACGAGATCGACCGCGTTTTTCTATTAGATTCTTTCGTTAAATTCTTAAATTTTCTCTGTTTGAATTTCCGATCTAATCCCCAGGGTCTATTAGTATCGTAAACTCTTTCATTTTGGACAGTTTTGGGTGAATACGCGTCGAATGAGTACATTTTTATTAAGATTTTATGGGGAGATGAGTATTCTCTAAATAATTATCAAATTTTATTCAAAATTTATATATCTTTTCGGTCATTTTCATCTCTACTTCCCAATCCTAATTTATATCTACTTGATATTTTTAAGTGGTGAATAAAATAGTTATAATAACCGTATAATTATCATATATCATATATTATATTTTATATTACAATTTAACTTGACATTACTTACGTTGCGAATTGTGATACTGCATAATTTTATATGGGTAAATGTACAGAATACTACGGAATACTATGCTCACCGGCTGACCTTAAATTATGACAAAAATATTGTATATATACTCGATCGATGTGTTTTTATGTAAAAATGATAGGTTTGTTCGCGTTACTTGAAATCTCTAAACATTTTTGAACTTAAAATGGCTGCATTCAGCAGAGAAAATTAATTAGTTAGGAGCTCCGCACAATAAAAGGAACAAGGAACAGAGAACAGAGAATAAGAATTCAGAAATCATGTATTGTGGAATACACAGTTTCTGATAGGTTGAAATTCTTAGGGGCTCCGCACAATAAAAGGAACAGCGAACAGAGAATAAGAATTTCAACCTATCAGAAATCATGTATTGTAGAATACACAGTTTCTGATAGGTTGAAATTCTTTTTCTGTTCCTTGTTCTTTTATCGTGCGAAGCCTCTTAGCGTTTAGTGATTTTTTAATTTTTTAATTTTAGTTGGTAAAATTTACAGCGAAATGGAACAGCGCATACGTCTATTCGCGTTGCTTGCACTTTTGGCATTCGATATCTTCGCTTTCTCTCTTTTCAAAGCAAAATATGTATCTATCTCATTTTAAGTGCAAAATGATTTGGGGATTTCATGCAACGCGAACAGGATCAATTACAACTTTGCAGTCATTACTCTGTTTTCTTTTCTGCGATTGTGATTGGTCTCGCTGTTCCGCTGTAAATTTCCGCTCATGGGACGCCGGCCTGAGATTAAGATTGTATTCGGCAAATAAAAACTGATCCAGTGAATTTATATTTGGATCAATCGAATAAACTGAACAAGTTCAAAAAAATGTTATATTGGCCTACTTTCCACCGAGAGTTTAAACCGAATCAAAATGTAAGAACTTACAGGGAACTGTTACAGGAGAATGCTCGACTGTAATTGGTTGGCTCTTACATTTTGATCTGGTTTAAACCTCGCTGAAAACTAGGCTTTGTCCACGATCCAAAATTTAGTAACTTTGTCTCGGATCGAAATCTCAGGGGCCCTATTCTTGAAAAATATCACATACGAAAAATTAGAGAAATGTTATAGTATATGTAACGCGTACTGTAGTATTTTCCTAGTTTTTCGTATGTGATACTTTTCAAAAATAGGAGCCCAGATTTCTAGCATTGTGGACACAAGCCTTTAGGATCCGGACTAAAGCTCCGTACATAATGCAAAGGAATAGCGATAGCAATAGAAATAATGGGCGCGTTCAAGTCGGACAAAGCTGCTAATCTGCTCGTCGAGCGATTGAATGTGATTGGTTGGGTCTCTAAGTAATAATCAATCATATTCATTTGCTTGGCAAGCAAATTAGCCACTTTGTCGACTTGAACACGCCCATTGGCTCCTGCACACTGGACGCGAAAACGCTTGTCGCACGGTAAAATGAGACGCGATAATCAATATATTAGAAGCTGTAAGCTTATTGGCTACTTCATCACATTTTGCCACGCGGCAAGCGTTTTCGCGTCCAATGTGCAGAAGCCATTATACGATTTTAACCTATCAGAAACTCTATAGTCTGATAGATTGAAATCTATCAAAAATCAAATACACTAAAATATACAGTATAATATTGTATTATTTAATAGAGAGATACCGTTATTTTTATCGTTATCGCTTTTTTTCGCATTTTGTTAATTTTTGAGTTTAATAGGCCGCTATTTCATTTGTGCGTTTCTGTCATACGGCAAATTTTTCAAGCTTGTTGATTGATTATAAGATTAAGAGATCCGACGTCCAGCACACATTTGTCCAAAACGCACAAATAAAATAGCACACTCGTTAGTTTTAAGGGGCACAATAAAAGGAACAGGGAACAGAGAACAGAGATAAGAATTTCAACCTATCAGAAACTGTATTCCACAATACATGATTTCTGATAGGTTGAAATTCTCTGTTCGCTGTTCCTTTTATTGTGCGGAGTCCCTAAGTTGCACTATGACTAGTCGACTGTTCAAAGCCTCAAAAGCTACAAATGCTTTGAAGCATTTGATGTGCCCCATTAGAAGAAAGAATTTTACAAATTCATCAATTAAAATAACACTTCAAAGCTTTTGTAGCATCGCGTTGACCGTACCCTAGTTCAGTTCATTTGAATTCCAGTGACTTTCCGTTTTAGGAAAAAGCTGAGCTTTTTCTTCAAGATCAGGGTATCAATCATGAAACTTTTTTCCTAGGATGAAAAGTGAAAAATTTCTCCCTTAACTTCAATGGTTAAAATTTTCACTTTTCACTTTCTATCCTAGGGATAAAGTTTCATGATTGATACCCAGGGCGCATACGTATTGATACGCCATTAAGTTAAGTGTTCTGTTATTGGTCGGATTTGCGGCCAATAGACGTAGGGCGCAAGCGACGGCGACTGTCCGTTGTCGCACCGCCACAGGCCACAGGAACGCTCAATAAACGGCGCTAGTGTCTGTCAAGTGTCACAGCCGTTCCCGTCGGTCGACAGTGTTGCGAGACTCGAATCCGGTGATTTAATTAGGAATAACGTACTTCTTTTTTTTAGTAAAATTGTGAAACTTTAAGCAATAATGACCGACAAGAAAGGTAACTATATGCTGTAATCGCGCAGTACCACTTAGTTGCGTGTAATGTACACTGAGAGAAAGAGAGAAATATACACGCACCCACACGGGCGTACGACAGACGCGCGTTCATACACAAGTCATATACACACGTATATGCTCGTTGAGATAAGCCGTACCTCACCACTTGTCACTTGGCTCGACGACTAGTCGTTGCCTGAGGCGACGTCGTCGATGCGACTCCTGGTGCGAACGGCCTATAACGAGTCATGGCGTCGCTTGCCCTTCGTGCATTGGGCTCCGGCCGCCGGGTAAGGACCGCTCGAATATCTGGCCCGGGTTGACAGGACAAATCAATACCGCGCATCGCACTGAGAATACAAAATGGCCTCCGGAGAGTTGTTCATTCTCTTTCTTACGAGAGAGAGGGAGAAAGAGAGATAGAATGAAAAAAGAATGAAAGAGACAAATTTCTTATATTTATATTATGAATTACTTTCGTCGATTCTATTCAGATTATATTTTCGTAAATCTTTCGATTTTTATCATTGTATTTTTTAATCAGTATTTCTGAATCTTCAAATTCTAATTTTTGTAATATTTTCAAATTTATGACATATACATTTTTGCGTTATTGATCCCTCTCGTATTCATGAAATTTTTCGATTTTATACACTCACATCTTTCTCCATTTACTTTGATTCACAAAAGAAGATTGGTAAAATTACCGGATTTTGGCCTGCGATGGAACTTTTTTTATGCATGTTTTCTTGTCAATTTTGATGTAGTGAATTATTTGCAAACATTTATTTCAAACTGATTTAATGAGAACATATTGAAAGTTAAGTCGCATTGAAAGTAGCACAATTTCGTCAAAATCTGGTCTTTACATTACAATTTTCAATATTTTCCATCAGTTTAGCTTGAGATTAACGTTTGCAAATAATTCAGCATATCAAAAAATACAAAAAAACATATGTAAGAAAGGTTCCATTGCTCTAAAAAATTGACTATTTTACTCAATGAATAATCAATATAATAGGTCAATATTGATTAAAACGAGAGAATCTTTCTCTTAAGCGTATTTTTTATTTTCTTTAATGTGCTGAAGCAAACGTTAAGTTTAAGCTAAACATTATTAGCAAAATATTGTAAATTGCAAAGATCAGATTTTGACAAAATTGTGCTAAGTAATTTCAATGCGATTTTCAACATGTTAGATCAGTTTGAATATTTGCAAATGATTCAGCACATTAAGAAATACAAGAAAACATGTATAAAAAAGGTTCAATCATTTAAGCCAAATAATTTTATCCAATAATTTTATCCATCCTCCTTTGTAAATCTGCGTATCTGAATTTGCTTTTTTCATAGATAACTGATTCCTTTTCACAATGAAATTCTTGGAATCCCAGTTATTTGCAATTCTCAAATTTTGATACATTTTTTTATATAATAGCTTCTATATTTTTTATTCCTAAATTCTTGGGCTCTTTGCACTTGAATTGTAATTTTTTTTGTTTTTTTGTAAGATATTTTAATTTCTGTTAATATAAAATACTGCATATTAAAATGAGATGTATCATGAATTCTGAGAGCCATGAATTATTAAATTGATAGGTTTTAACTTTTCTTTCTTGTTTAGTTAATATATATTTTTGATCTGATTTAATGAACATACAGTACAAATTATATATGTATATATTAGTACGTTAGATTATATTAATAACGAGGTCATTGTCAAACTTCAATTTTTTTTGCAAATAACACACATAAAGAATCAGAATATGAATTTTCAATTGAATTATTCAACAAAGATTCCAAGGATATAGATTCATTCTTTTATTCGCGGTTTGTTATCAAATTAATTGTGTGAAGCTCCGGAAGTCATCCCTTTGTATTACTCACAATCAGTGATATTCTTACAGTTGTAGGAGCTTGTTACAAAAAGTGAGAATGCGCAAACGCCGTGTATGAAGTGTATGATTTAAAGGATCCCTAGAGCTTAAGAATCAGAATTTACCAAATAGTTCCGTTGTCGCTAACAATCGAACAGACACTGGAGTCGAGGTGTTCACTTGAGCGTCTGTTTTTGTTTGCTCAAGCCGTTCCAGACGTTACGGATACGTTTTTATTCCTTTCGCACGATGGAACGCAATCTGAAACATTCCTGGAATAGCTTCGGCAAAGATTACTTTCTCATGTTAGCGCCGTAAGAACGGTATATACCTCGACGATGCAACATTTCATTACCGAGTCTGGTCCCCAAAGCAGGTGCTGCGCTCCTATATAAAGCGCAGTATCGTAAGGATATATGTAAAAGTTTAGCCTGTAAGTGGAGAGCTGACATGCGCTCCTTACCATAATGATGATTATTGGTAATGTGAAGATAACACATTATATACTGCTGCGAGTCTGCTACCGTTTATACCTATGGCGATGTAGCAGCTGAGCGGAGGGATAGTGCCTACAGTTTGGCTGTCAATATGTTTGCAGCGGACCATTACAAAGACGATTTGATCCCAGTCAGTAGGTGGAGCTCCGGAGAT